TTTATTATTCTTTGCAATAATTGCGGTAAATTTATCAAGTCAAAATTATATAAGTCTTAATTATTATGCTATCAACTGGACTGAGAATTTATTATATTTTTTGGTCACGGCAAGAATAAATGAAACTACATATTCTATATGTATTATTAAACCAAGAGACTACACTAAAAAGAACCCCGAGTGCACGCTGACAAGCGTCTTGTTTAAGATAAATTGCCTTCTACTAATGTTTTTTGTGGTCCCTTGACTGTTTTTTTGATAACATTCCGACATGCCTGATTATATGAGGTGGTCATGACATTATACGAACAAAACATTATATGAGGTGGTCATGACATTATACAAAAAATAGGCAGTCGAGGACTGCATGTGACTCAGGCTAAATTAGGCAGAGTAGATAATCAGAATGTTAATTTGAGTTAGAGAAAGATTATTGTCAGATAAGTGATTGTGATAAGCTTAAATCCACTGTATTACTCTTTTATTTATTTTTGGTCTTTGGTGTATGACAAAATTTTTTTCATGGTTTTATGAAATTAAAACCACTATATGGGGGTCAACCCATCATAAGTGACTTCGAAAAACCAATGTAAAAAGTTTTATCATTACAATAAAATCCTTTACTAGTTCAAGAAAAGCATTCTCCACTAGTGAACTATAACAAACATAACATCAAAAATATAAAATACACAAAATATACAGTGTCATTATAGGATGGAATGTCAAATTCAACACATTCTGGTAGCACTGATTCAGTTTGTTCAATTGTACACAATGTGTAATAAGCAATGCTTGGATCTGTGTCAGTTTTGTCTTGGCTTTTCCAAGGTCTTCTATGAAGCCTTTGCTGGATGGGAGCTTTGGGAACTCGTTGCGAGTTGTGCTAATGATCTTAGTATTTAATAAAGATTTACTTGGTGCTCTTATCTTGCTTAATCTTTCTGGCTAACGCGAATTTATAGAATAATATGCTGGGACGAGTAGGATTGCGGATCCTTGTAGTGTGGCGAGGAGTTCTTTCTGTTTGTTCTCTCTTAACTGTAAGTTTCGGAATTCCAAAACCGGCAAACTACAGCTACCACCTACCAGCTAACTCTCGATGTTGGCATATCGTTTTTCTGTATCACTATAGGGCTTGCTAGTTAAATCACGTGATTCGTGATCCACTGATTTCACGACTGATATACTAACACTGCACATACTAACAAGTTGTTTTATATAAGCTTCTCATTAAAGCTGAAAAGTGAATAAATATATAAAGACACGGAATTTATATTTTCAATACTCCAATATAAAATCCGTGAAAACGCACGCCTATCTATATTTAGAGATTTGTAGTTACCACATATAACACTATTATATATCATTGTTCTATGTTTTGTTTTTGCCGTACATTACGCGCGATAGTACAATCGAACAGTTTGAAAAATTACCCACGATGATTAAGTACATGTTTTTAGCAATCAAACCAATACGTCACAGAGGAAATAAATGTTCAAAAACAGTAGTGAAAGTTGAACATATTCTCTCTCTCAACTTTAATGTTCGGTAGGTGTAGTGATGGTCAGTGTCGGTCTGACAGTTGAGAGAGATGTTTTAAAGGTGATTTTAGGAGGGGGGTCTTCGTTTTGTATATTTGGGGGGAGGGGGTTGTCCAAAACGAAGACCCCAGCAAAAAAGCCCTAAAATTGGCAAATCTTGTTGTAGTTGATGTGTATTACACACGCTTTGCTCTTACCGAAAGTTACTACTAAAGTTAGTGTTTTGTTGCTAGTTATGTTCTACGTGACATAACGCACTTTTTGAATAGATTTTGTTGGAGTCGTCGTTTTTGGGTCTTAGGTCTTAGGTCTTCGTTTTATGCCTACCCTGTCATGGCCACCTCCGTGAACTTCAGGCAGTTTTACAATAAAGCGCGCATAAAGGTCGAGGGACCGCAAAACATACTGTTTCCCGAGGTTTCCAGTAAATAAGTGCTTTATTATCATATCAAGTGTCAAAGAGAGCAAAAGACGTAAATAAATGAAGTGTTTTTATTAAAGATTTTGATAAAATGACTGAAAAATGGCAATACAAATAGTCAAATGTCACTAAAATCAATCAATTTAATAACACAATGAATACAATAACTATTTGTAGACGAAATCAAATGTTTCAAAACAATTTTGGAATGCAACGTCCGTAAATGTGACATTTTCACGACACTGAAGAGTGTTTTTCTGCGACTTTGTACTTATTGACGGTCCACAACATATTATTGACCGCTGGTGGACAGTTGCCAGGAAACAGTAAAATTTTGTGATTTTCACGTGGTACACTCTCGACCAATAATATACTAGGAAAAGTGAACTTTGTCACTTGATATATAATAAAATGTTTTGTTCGTATAATGTCCTATCCATCGCATTATGTTTTGTTTGTATAATGTCGCATCAACCTCATATAATGCCGTTTTCGTAGTGGTGTCCATGGCACAGCATAATGCCGTATCTACCTCGCATAATACCGTATTCACTTCTTATATTGTCGTATCAACCTAGTATAATGCCGTATCGACCTAATATAACGAGAAATGCACCGCATATGATGATAAATGAACCACATATAATGTGTTTTCCAACGCGTATAATGGTGTTTCCACCAAATATCAAACGAATTTGAGCACAATGATGGCGTGCCATAAGAGATAATCGATTCATTTTGTTTGTGTCTCGAGATTCAAATTTAAAAAAACTAGGGTCTTCACTATATATTCACTCGTGGTTCAGTCAGGCAGAATCGAAATAACTATTATGTAACTTCTTTATATAATAGGAACTGAGTGTAAAATAAAACTTATCGGTCATCTAGTCACCTAAAAGTTATCAAATTGTTATCCGCCATTTTGAATTTCGAATCGAGAACAAGGTCTAACAGACTTCGTGCCCAGGGGTATTTTTTCTGGGAGTGAGGAACGAACGACAGAAGATTACCCCTGGGTTCCCGAGGATGGCCATTCTTTTAGTTAGCCCTTTTCGAGGCGCCACGTAATCTGCACTGAAGCTAGATCGTCCTTGGCGGGATCGCTACCTGTGCAGGTATTTTTCTTTGTCTGATTGCAGCAATTTCTTTGACTGATTCCGTAGCAATGCAAACGACAGTAGATGTAATGCACCCATGGATGGCTAAAATCATAGACAATAAAAGCTGAAATCCTCCGTCCACATTAAAGTGGCATTATTGCTAATCCAAAGACACGGATTCTTGATTATACTTCAAAGGAGAGATTTTTGATAATACCAAGGCTCATCCTATAAATTTGGAGAATCACGAAAATAGGAAATTTGATAACAATGCCACAATTCCTTTAAAAGAAGGATTGAGCCCTTCTTGTCATGAAAATGATGACCTAGCGCAGTTGTGTTCTATAGTTATCCAATGATACTAGGGTGTTACCTTGGATTTCGATCAGGGTAGGTGCAGTACATTTGCACATTAGTGTGAATGTGAGCAAATACTTATCAAAAACATTCCGCCAGATAGAATTCATTAAAAACCGACAATGATCTTCCGGAAAATCTATATAAAAGCATCAATACAGTCCATTTCAGACCAGTATTTCTGTTTCAATTCTTCAGATGTCGTTGAAGGAATACAAACTACTTACAACACAAACAGACGATGAATCGGAAGACCTTGAGAAATATGATCAACCGGTTCTTGAACAACACTTATTTTMCCATCATGAAGAAATTCAGTCACCCAAAGAAATCAGTACTTGGAAGATGGYCTTAAACTTGTTAAACTACATGGAAGGCGTTGGATTCCTTGCCATTCCATACGCTGTAAGAGAAGGAGGAATCACTGCTCTCCTTGGGATCTGCCTTCTACCTTTCATMCTTGGATATACAGCAAATCTCCTCAGCCAATGCATAGACGAAAAAGATGAAACTGGACAAATCGTAAAAAGAAGGTTAACCTTTCAGGAAATTGCAAAAGATTCGTGGGCTCCACTGGAAATTGTAGTGTGGATCACCAACAATTTAGTCTTACTGATGGCAGATATTTCATATATCGTTGTTAGCAGTTCATTAATGTCACAGCAGTTTCCTCAAGTCCCCTTCTCAACGTCCCACTGGGCATGTGTTGCAACATTAATAGTTTTACCAACAGTATTCCTCAAAGCATTTTCTCAAATTGCATGGCTCAGTTTGTTAAGCCTTGTAGTCTTGATAGTCGTCATTGTTCTCATGTTAGGTTTTGAGGTACCGATGCTGTTTCATAGCGATTTGAGTTCAATTTTCTTTTGGGATACGCGCGGGGTTTTTGTGGCCATATCTATTTTGATATCAAGTTATTCGGTTCATCATATTGTTGTCGCTGTAGCAGTAGATGTACGAGACCAATCTAAATTCAAATTGGCGRTAGCACTAAATTACTTTTTTGCCGCAATTACTAAGGTAGTTTTTGGTCTTTCAGGCTTTCTGGCCTTCAGGGATGACACAGAAGAAGTCGCACTCAACA